TGTCCTCTTCATCAGGAGAGCAGGGGTTTCGCTCAGGGCTGTCGGAAACGTCCATCAGTACCCAATAGTCTGCAGGGGGTAGAAAACAACACTCGTTATGGGGAAACAAGCTGGGAAATCAAGAAAGGCTCACCTTGCAGAATTTGTACTCTCGCGTTTTCCCTCCTAAAGAAGAAAAGGTTGCTTGAATTCATGAACGTGGTTTGTCATAGTACCTTCAAGAAGAAAATACCGAGTTTAAACTGCGTAAAGAACTGACTCCAGTATTGTCCCAGACTAGATAAGTGTGCTACCCTTCACATACAACGATGGAGCTCAAGGTTGGAATTTCATCCACAAGCTCTAATAGGTGAGGCTGCACAAGCATTCCCACCAGATCACCGTCAGAAATCCCAAGGTAGCCTCCTCACCCCAGGCACAATCAGCAGTGGCATTTCTTCTGTGAGCAAGCGCGTGAGCTTCAGAACATAGGGCCAGGTTTTCAGGTGTGTTTTGTAACTGTAAGCACATGGCACCGGCTCCTGAAGAGGCACAGGAGCACAACTTACAGCGATTCTGGAAAAACAGCCTATATATTTACAGTACTCGTTACACTGCATCCAGAATAGATATTCATAGATATCCATGAAAACTCTTGGATTTTTAATCAGGTTTAATTTAGACAGTGCATGTATTGCCATCTAATCTCCACCCGCTTTATACAGTAAAGATTCAAAATTCCTCCAAAGAAGCAGATCAACTTCATAACTGTCTGCATCACGCACTTTTGCTAGCAGCTCAGTACGAACGTGTGCTTGGTATGAGTAAGTTAAAAACTAGATGTCTGCTTAGAATAAGCATAATAAATGCAACAGAAAGGGACAAGATGTAAAGCAGGAAAAACCCCCAACCCATACATCTATTTATTTTACTCCAGAAAACAAAAAAAACATGAATTATAGCAGAACTGTCTGACCCAAGGAACTGGTTGAGCTGTCTCTTACTAGGAAGATTACTGTTTCACATCTAGACAAAAGCTCTTGGTGATTAAAAACTCCTGCCCTTCGGCTGTGGTCTCCTGCTGCAGCATGTCCTTAGCCCTATAAACAATGATGGCAACTCCTTCCTCGCCCCCCTCAACAATAACCAACAGTGCTTCAGCTGCCTCAGAAGAGCCCAGGCTGAGAAAGGTGTCTTGGCAGGTTTTCCGGCACCGAGGCAGCCAATGCTCAGAGAGATCAAAGCACCCACTGTAGTTCTCTGGTTGCACCAGTGGAACAGTTCAACAGAGGCATTGGCTCTTCTCAAGGTGGCACCTTTCCAGAGGACTAAATTCACCGTCCGAGTATACGCCACCTCCTCCTCCTCCAGACCCAAAGGTTTGTACAGGAACAAGCTTGGGCGTCCATCAGACAGAAATGAAAAGCTGAAGACAAACCCAAGGCTTACAGAAGCACATTTAGGGCTAAAGAAAAGCCACGGGGTTACAAACCAACAGGATTCCTTCACCTTAATATGTATCGTGTTTTGCTTCAGCTGTTCCTGGCTACAACCTCCCCACAAGCACATTTACTGCTGGTGTAACAAAAACATGGCATAAGTTACCAGATTTTTACGTGCTGTTTTTAAGACCTTTGGAGCAGAGATGCTACAAAAACAAGACTCTGGTAGCTCCTTTAAACACATCCAGCAACCCTTCCTGAAATAAAAGTTACTACCACTAGGCAGCTCTGCACTACTTAACCTTTTCCTGACCCACCCCGTCACTTTTCTCTGCTATG